GCACCTTCCTGACACTGGTCCTTAAACTGGCTTGAAGTCCCAGCCCTCACATACTCTTGGTTTCCCTTCTACCTAACCATTTCTCTGTCTCCATTCTATTTCTTCTTTCTTCCAAGCTCCAATGTAGGTCCAGGTCCCCTTTCCCACAAAGGGCATGATGATCAGCAACAAAGCAGAATAGCAAGTTCAATTCTTGCACCCAGTCTTTGTGTTCCCAAAAGAAATTTAATGTCTCTTCCAATTTTCCTTTCTACTCACCAGTACCGGAACCCTCCAAATAGGCAACTAGAGAGTGCAAAAAGTGGGACTTGCACACTAGGTTTTCCCTTCCAAGATCACTGCACCCTCCGCTGCCTCCTCAACTAGGGAAGGTGATGGTAAAAAAGACAACACCAATAGGACAATGAGCAAGACACAGACAGGAAATCACCAAAGAAAAATATGAATAACCATTGCACGAATGAAAGTTAACCTTTACAACAAAAGGTGGGTTTATTTTGGGGTGGTATTTTTTGTAATGTGTTTTTGTTGTTGCTGTTGTTGTGTTGTTATTTGAGATGTCTCTGTCTGTAGTCCCATACTGGCCTCAAATTCCAAGATCCTTCTTGCTAGCCCAAGTGCAGGATTATATCTGTGTACCACCACATCCAGCACAAATGCACTTTAAAGCAACAGTGAGATCGGATGGCAAGGCCAGTAAGACCGTGCCCTGCCAACGATGTCAGACCCCATTGCCGCTTCAGCGCTTTTTCAACCTTCCCACGTCCAAGCTCTCAAAAATAATGACTTGACCCAAAATTAAAACCATTAATAAGATAACATACACTTAATCGTAAGTGGCAAGTTTAATATGTAGCTGGCAAGAAAAATGACATTTAAGACACTAAATTAACATATAAAGTCTTTTGCTCCCTGGAGAATGACGCGTGGTTACACTTAAGGACCAAAGGTTTTCGGTTCGTAGCTATCCTTTGACTCAGTGGTTCACTTCTAAAAGTTAGCCTCAGGAAATAGCCATACAAATATGTAGGTTTAAGAATATTTACTGCAAATAATTACTATATTTTTAAAAAATTGAGACCCAGCTAAATGGGCTTTGATATGAATCTAATTTAAATGAAGTAAAGTTTACCAAACAGTAGCATTCTGGGCAACCATTAAGGATGGTGTTGGTGACCTGGAGGTTGTAGTTCAGTAGTAGTGTACATGTTTAACATGTGTGAGGTCCTGAGTTCAATACCAAGCACTACATGACACATACACACACACACAACACACGGACACACACATACACAGGAGACCACATATATATACAACACATAGCTAAACATCAGATATACCTAAATTTAGGAACAGTCTACAAAATAACTGACCCATATTCTTTCAAAATGTCAATATAATGAAAGGCAAAGTAGTCTAAAAACCTGTACTCATTATTAATGAAACTAAAAGGATCTAACTTCCAAATATAGTATACTGCATGATTCTATACTAGATCCTGGATCTAGAAATAGAAATTGTCATAAAAGACTTTATGGGACAATTGGAAATTTGATATGGATATAGATTATAGGCATTATATCTATCTAAGTTTTTTATTTAATTGTATTATGTTATATAAAAGAATGCTCTTGTCCTAGGCAAGTTCACATTGAGGGTTTAGAAGTAGATGACACCTTATGTGTGACTCACTCTCAGTGGTTCATTAAAAAGAAAAAGTACTGGGCTTGTGAATGGCTCACATGTAGAGCACCTGCCTTAGCAAGCATGAGGCCTTGACTTCAAACCCCAGTACCACAAAAAAAAAAAAATTACTACACTATGTTTCACATGGCTATAATCCCAGCAGTTGGGAGTCAGAAGCAGCAGGGTTGTGGGTTCCAGGCCAGCCTGGGCCAACAGTTCAGACCTTATCTCAAAAACAAACAAACAAAAACTACTAGTGTATATTTGTAGAAAATAATGATAGCTAGGCACCCATGTTCTCCCAAACCAGCCCAGCATCTTGCCCATTCCAAAATGGAGAAAAAACAGGTCCCAGCAAGAGCCGAGTTAAGGCCTAGAAATCTCCTGGGTTCGTTCTGCCAAAGTGAGTAGTTTCAAATTATGATAAGTTGCAGAGCCTCAGAAGGACCTGTACTGACTGGAGCTAAGCATCTCTCTGGAAAAGGGGAATAAGGAAGTCCTTTTACCACTCCACACCTCTGTTTATAGGTCATACCCTCCTATTCCCATCTCTAGAAAGGAGAAAGCATGTCCACAAACCGAAGGGCTGGGACTGCCCCCAGGATCCCAGAAGCCAAGCCAGGTCTCCCCGCCTATCACTGGCCCCATCAACTCTGTCTACATTCTACTTCCCCAGGGGTTGTCAGGGACAGAAGGCCCTCCCTCATCCCCCTCAATGTTTCTCCACCCCCCTCCCCATCACTAGGGTGTCCAGGACATTGTGTGACTCAGGAAACAGCTCAGACTGAGGCTTGAAGCAGGCCCGAGGAGGAAGAAGGGGTAAATAGGAGCTGAGGAGGTGGCCCTGCTTCTGCAGTGTCTCTGCCTAAAGAGGGAGAGGGGATCTGGACTTGGGGAAGGGCTCTGGAATGCAGCCCCTTCCCTGGTGCTGCTGCTGCCACTGCTGCTGCTGCACTGCTGTATTTCCCAATTGTCATGACCAGAGGTGAGGCATGGTGGGGAGACGGGGGCGGCATCTCCCTTAGGAGGATGTCTGATGGAGTGGGGAAGAGAGCCTAACCTCAGACTTTGAGGGGATACTGATGAAGGAAATTCTTTTCTCCAGTGGAACCAGCCCACAGGGAGAGCAGAGGACTATAGGAGGTGCTGCTCAGACTCAGGTTTAGGGCCTGGTGCCAGTGGCAGTGACTGCTGGGGGGATGGGTGCAAGCATGCACCAGGGAGAATCCAGCTGGCCCTGGAGCTGAGGCAAGGGGCTCTCAAAGTCACACTAAAGGAGGAAAAGGGAATAGACTGACCACCTGCTAAGGGAAGAGATGAGAGAAGAGCTGGCGATGGATGCATAGAAGGTCAAGGCCCACCAAGTCCCTTTCCTGTCCAGCTGTCCCCACCCCACAGTGGCTCAATACTAGGCCTTCCTGAAGGAAATCCCTTCCAAGTTCTCAGCCATTCACCTCCCAGGAGCCCTCCCAGCACCTCCCCCTCCTGATCGTGTTGTCCTGCTTCCAGGGATGGAGCCAGGCTGGACTTGGGAGGCCAGAGAATAAACAGGAAAGGGGTGGGGAGTAGTAATAAGAGGCTGGGATGGAGGGAGCTGGGGCATGGAGACCACATGGGGAGCTGGACCAACCAGAGTATGAAGCAGAGGGGGATTACAGAGCAGGTGGGCATTAGGGGTGCTTCAGGCAGGTCTCTGAGGAACACCTGGAGGATGAAAGGAGAGCACAGGCCCCTCAGCTCCATCTCATCCTCATGTTCAATCTCCAGGGCTGCTATGCGGAAGTTTTCCAGAACCCTGCGCCAATGGAGGCACCTGCCTGAGCCTGTCTCAGGGGCAAGGGACCTGCCAGTGAGTGTGCCTCCTGGGAGTGGGAGATTAGAGAGAAGGGGAAGGAAGGAGTGAGGAGTGGGAAGAAAGAAGACAGGAGTGAAGGAGCTGAAGAAACAAGTGAAGACAAAGGAGAGAGTGGGAGAAGAAGAGAAAGAGAGGCCAGTGATGTGAGTTTTCCTTCTCCTCCTCCCCAGGTGTGCTCTT